TATTTTTGTGATGCATATTCTGATATATGCATACAATAGTTTAGAGATAAGCCATTAGTATTCTAAAAATTCCAGACATTTTACTATAGTAAATTAGTGTATATCTTCACATGTCTAAATTAGGTAAGAATTAATATTTATTTTGAAATTACCTATTTCTTGACAAAAGATAGCATCAGAAGTTTCTAGTTAGGTAAGGAATGTGTCATTCAGTAAGTGTGGTTTTATTATGAGAATGATTAATTATTCCACTTAGGATTTCTATGTGTCTTTTATTGCATGATGCATTTCTGAATTACTTTATCTTATCTGTTTTTAATTAGTAATTACTTTTAATGGAGGAGAGAAGGAAAAAACACATGTAATTTGAAAATGTTACCAATAAAATTTCTTCTATGTTTCATTCCTGTAACAGTAATTATATGCATAATCAGGGCAATAAGACTATGAAACAGTATTAAAATATTCAACATAATGTGTACTTAGGAACTTGGAAAGAACAGAATCCTGTTTATGATAAATTACATTTTTCTTATGATTTTAAAAGAATTGATTTTTAAATCAATTTTTAAATCAAAGTTACTAAAATCATCTTTTTAATTGGTGTTTCACTAATGTTCTTAATATTTTATTCCTTTCTTTGTACTATTTTGAGGACACATACTATTGTCACTAATGTTCCCATTGCTATTTATCACCTAGTCGCTATCAGAATAAATGCTTTATAAATACTAACCTGCTGTGATTGAAGTTGTATTCAACTGTACTTGTCTCTTTTTGGCTTCAGGTTCCACTAGAATAGATAGTTTTTCATTCCTTTGAAAGCAAACTCTTAATATTCCTGTAAGTCTAGTTATGAAAATGGGAAAGTGCAGAGGAGAGACAATTTTGCTTTCCACTTCCTTTTCCCAAGTAAGAAAAGCTGATCTAGAAATCACATTAATAGTCTTCATAAGATGAGATTAGAGGAAACGCCATGGTTGGAGCTCTGATTTCTTCCCTTGAATACTTGAGAAGTCCTCCAACAGGAGACAAAGTGCATAGATGAAAAGAAGTGGTGAACTGTTTCAAAAAACTTAATACCATCTGTTAACTTAGGTTGTATGTGTTTATCTTTGTTCAAGATATCAACTGACTCTGATACCATGTGATACATGATTTTTTCAAAGATTTTTCTATGTGTGTTGTCAATGGAGCTAAAACCATGGAGGCGGGTACAAAAATAGTAGATCTTATTTTTGACAAAGCAGTTGTCTACACATTACTAGCCCAAGCTCTTTGTGGAGAGAATGCTATAGCATGAAATATACTCTCATTAATGTATATCTATGAAAATATAGATTGATCCTAATTAATAAAGAATTAAAGTTTCAATATTTTTTCCTTGGAGCTAATTTCTGAACTAAGAACTTTGAACACTACATATCCACAAACACTCAGAGACAACCAACCTGTACTAAGAGCTCTTGAAATAAATTTTAAAATGGCTTACAGATTGATTCATAGTAATTGTTTTGGGTCATTAATCCAGACATATCACCATTTATTTATAAAACATGAATCCGATATGCTTTGTATGTATTTTCTTTACCATTAAAGCAGGTTTGATGAAATTTAGAACATAAGAATAATGGGGCGCCTGCGTGGCTCAGTCGGTTAAGCATCCGATTTCAGTTCAGGTCATGATCTCAGGGTTCATGGGTTCATGGGTTCGAGCCCCACGTCCAGCTCTGTGCTGACAGCTAGCTCAGAGCCTGGAGCCTGCTTCAAATTCTGTATCTCCCCCTCTCTGACCCTCCCCTGCTCACACTGTTTGTCTCTCTCTCTCAGAAATAAGTAAAACATTAAAAAAATTTAGAATATAAGAATAAAAACGTTTAATGTTAGTGACTTTGTGATATTAAATTTTTGCTTGTTAATAGCCATCAGGAAGAGTAGTAAAATAAGCAAGATGGTTTTGTATGTAAAAGAAATCTTGTTGCTATAAATATTTAAGCATAGAACCACTTGATTTTGAGAAGTAGCAATTGAACATAATTGGCTTGGTGTATGTAGTTCTTTATGATATATTAAAAAGCAGAGAAATGTATATGCAACATGAAATATGCAGGAAAAATTCTAAACAGTTTTCAAAATATATATCATTATTTAATAATACATATTATTGAGATAGCTTTAAAAATCATTTTATTTTGTTTAAAAAAATTTACGTTTATTCATTTTTTGAGAGACAGAGCATGAGTGGGGGAGGGGCAGAGAGCGAGGGAGACACAGAATACGAAGCAGGCTCCAGGCTCTGAGCTGACAGCATAGAGCCTGATGCAGAGCTTAAACTCACTGGTGGTGAGATCATGACCTGTGCCGAAGTTGGATGCTTAACTGACTGAGCCACCCAGGCACTCCTTAAAAATTATTTTAAAATGTAATCTCCGAATTAAAGAAAAAGTTTTTACTGTGCATGTTAATATGCCCTGAGTGAATAGTAATTCTTGTTTCTCATTATGCATCCTCTAAAAAGATTACATTTTAGAAAGATGTCCCACATTGTTATGCCAAATCTTTGCATTTACTCTAACATGTTCATATCATCTAATTAGCATTGTTAATGCCTAATTACCAAAAGCACAACAAATTTGAATGGCCAGGGATCTAAACCAGATGATGGAGGTTAGTGAAGAGATTCCAAGATGAGTTAGTAGCAATTGTATTGCTAAATGTCAGAATAGCCAATGCTAACATGCTGATTTTAGAACCAGATGTCCCCATTGAGAAACCAGAAGCTGGAATGCAGAGATGTTATAGAAAATTGTAAATAACCCTTATGATACTCTCATGATGAGTTTACTCTTATAATTCTCTTTTTCTATAAGTTTGCCATACTAAAAAAACTAAAGAGCACTGTGTCTACAAATTTCAAATGTTTCCTATGCCTAATTGGTCAAACATATTTCTTTTAGTGATTTTATATAAATAAATAAATTAATAAATAATAACAGAACAAGTATTAAAGAGATTAAGCATATTGCCTATGTTCTTATTACTCAGGAAACATTGAAATAAAATGTGAGTACAGATAAATGTCATTAGTCAGCATTAGGCTGCCAATACAAATGACTGAGTAAGTTGCTTATTACCCATTTCTATCATTTCTTTAAGTGATGTAATGACAAATAGAATAAACTTGGGCTGAGTCTCTCATATAGGGTTTTTCAATTTCAAAAGGACATCTACCCCCTTCTTTGACAACAGAAAATGTTGCTGAGTTAAGTAATTAAGGCCTTTACATTTAGAAACTAGATTTTATATAATGATGTAAGGATCAGTTTATTTCACTTATTTTCATTAATGGTGTGGCAGACAGTGGTTCATGACAACACAGATCATTTAACATTTATATATACCATGTGCGTGTGGGGAATTGATTTAATCCTGGTCTTACAATGCAAAAATGTATGCCATTTTTGACATTGCTATTTGTGCTTGTACTAAAAAATAAAGTGCGTATCACATAGTTACATTACTTTTTTAAAAAAATTTATTTCTGAGAGAGAGAGAGAGAGAGACTGTGTAAGCAGGGGAGGGTCAGAGACAGAGGGATACAAAGAATCCTAAGTAGGCTCCAAGCTCTGAGCTGGCTGTCAGTACAGAGCCCGACGTGGGGCTCGAATCCAGGAACCGTGAGATCATGACCTGAGCGGAAGTTGGACGCTTAACTGACTGAGCCACCAGGCGCTCCTGGTTACATTTCTTAAAATGTATTTGACTGGCATTTCTCTTCCTTCTCAAGAGAATATGTGATTCAGAAAGAGAGAAAAAGAAAGAATGGTGAAAGAAAACAGGAGCGGTTTGTGGAGGAAACAGCAAGGAGAGCACCTGATCATATTTATTGCAAATTAAAAGCCATCACTTTCTCTACCCAATGCCCCCATGAAAAGTATCATCATTTGCAACAAAGGAACAAAAGATAATCACTGTCCCTCCCCACAACACCCCCATAGAAATTTCAGTTCAGAATTGCGATTTGTGGTATTTCTAACCTCGCTAAAGTTGAGCAAAGTCAAAATGCAAGACTCAGTCATAGCATAGAAAAGATAGTGCCTGTGAATGTCAGTTGAAAAAACTAAAGGGCAGCTTTCACACGGATGAAAGCTGGTAAGCTTATCCAGTCATCTCTCATGGTAATTGACAAGGACAGAGTTGTTAATTCCTATAATTGGTAAAGATTGTCTGAAAGTAGAAATGGAAAGCCAGATCCAAATTACAAATTATATTTACTGTTATTATTATGTTATATATATTATATTTTAATATATTATATTTATTATATTAATTCGGCACAGTTATTAGGAGAAATGTGTTGGATCATTAAAAATATTATATTTAACTTTAAAATTTAAGGACCAGGAAGCAAGCGTACTCTACCAACATTGATGGATAAAGGCAACTGACAGAATTTCACTTGATTGCTGTTTGCTTGGTGAACTTCACTTTTTCCTCCTTCAACTTCCCAAATAAATCTTACTCCTTTAGAGTCAATTTATGTTTCCCAGCATAATGATGCATTTTACCCATTCAGCTATGCTAGTGTTCTCTGAAGCCGGCCAGCAATGATCTCACCTCACCTACAATATAAATCTATCAGTGAATAAACAACATCATTTTTATTTCAATGCCGATGACACACTACATGTCGATTTGGCAGTTAAATAATTTATCTCTCTTTTGGGTGCAATCTGCCAGGCTTATTATAACTCTACTTCTGATATTCATTTCACGTTTAATAGTTCTTTGCCTCATGAGGATGCTTGTCAATCAATTAAATTGAAATGTCATTCTGACCTTTTATTGGAAACAATTTACTTTTTTTTTTCATTTCATCACAAGCTTTTTTCCAGTTTATTCAAACTAAAAGCCTTAATTACTAGTATTCAGAAACTTTATAGTAATTAACCTTATAAAACTACATGCTCGTCAACATTACTGACACTTTATCTTTACAGAGGTTATCCAGTTGAGTCTGCCTGAAGATCAGAAACTAAGCACCACAGCAGCAACCGTGGGACAAAGTGCTGTTCTGAGCTGTGCCATTCAGGGGGCCCTGAGACCCCCCATCATCTGGAAAAGGAACAATATTATTCTAAATAATTTAGACTTGGAAGACATCAATGTGAGTACAATAATAGGTGTACCTTTATCATTTGTATATTTCATGTGATATACTCTAGACCTTGTAAAATCTGAGAAGCTTAATGAATATTGGGTGTAGAGTAGAAGAGAATTATTGGAACATTATCATATCTACATTACTGACTGGGACGTGTACTATAGATCATATGAAATTATCCAAATCACTTGTGTAGGTGTGGTAAGCGGGTTATGTAGCACTGTGTTGGTGGGATCATATCAACTTAAACCAATAATGTCTGCCTGTCAGAATTTCTACAATTATCAACAATGAATCTTTCTGTATTTGCTATTACAGTTAAGCAGCCACCTTTAGCTTGTGAAGTGTTAAATTGGATAAAAGCAGTTTTTTCATCAAATACTTCATAATGTATTAGAAATAATAAACATCGATCAAGCAAGAAATGGTTTATTTTTCTAGAATGAAATTGGAATATATTTCTCCACTCAGGTTTTCTCCTAGAAGTTCAGAATCTAAACTCAATTTGAAAGGGTACTGCTTTGAAAATGAAACAGATATAGAACAAACTTCTGGGTATTCTTCGGTTTCTTCCATACAGTGTGTTCCAAGGGAGGGTTAAAATGTATACATCATCCTAGATAATGAAAAAAAGTAAAAATTGTGCATTATGGGATGCCCATGGAAATGATGTAGGGCAATCTTTTGTCTTAGTGATTTGGGAATTTTATGATCTCTTTGCACATAAATTTTAGGTTTTTTTTATTATTGCTCAGGAAAACCATCACCTATTCACTCATTCTTTATTGCTTCATAAAGAACACAGATCCAAAAGAGTCACTTCTATATGTTACATCTTACTAACATTCTTGTTTAATGTCCTCAAATAAATCAAAAGAGAAGTCTTCTAATTTAATTTAATTTTTTTTTCTAAATTTGCTTACATCTGTGAAATTTCTTGAGAGATTATGTGGGGAATAATATTTAATTCTTAAGATATTATGAACACTGCATTAGAACAGCTGTAATCTCAGGAGCTTTCAACAGTCTTTGAGAGATATGTCCTTAGATAAAGCCACCTTGGGTTTGCTTTATATGTTGTTATGTCTACATTTTATCTTTTATTTTCTATCTTCATTCTTACTATCATGTTTTCCACTGTTATTTCCAGAGACGCTTATATTCTATGGTGCTGTGGTTTGAATACCTCAAAATAAGCTCATTTGAATTATTTCAAGAATAAGAAAGGACATGCTATGAATAATACTCTTTGGAAAAATGGCACATTTTTGTGCATATATCTTGTAAATTATTTTTTAAAAAAATTTTATGTCTTTATTTTATTTTGAGAGACAGAGACAGAGTGAGCAGGAGAGGGGCAGAGAGAGAGGGAGACACAGAATCTGAAGCAGGCTCAAGGCTCTGAGCTGTCAGCACAGAGCCCTACACGGGGGTTGAACCTACATACTGTGAGATCATGACCTGAGTCAAAGTCAGATACTTAACCAACTGAGCCACTGAGGTTCCCCTCTTGTAAATTATTTTACTAACTTCCTAATTTTTGACTCTGTTCTAAAAGCTTGAAATCTCTTGAAAAATGATTATAGATAAGTTAATTGTCTAAAATATATGTAAGCATTAGATAAATTCTGAAATCAATAAATTGATTTTTATTGGACAAAGTTATTTTGGTTACATTTCATAAAGCAGGTAAATTTTGAGGATTTAAAAAACATTTTCAAGAGTTGGAGAGTTTCAGTTTCATTATGAGTCATATTTAAGTAAGTTGAACAAGGATTCATAATCTATAGTATACACATAACTACAGTATTCCAAATAAAACTGCAAGGATATCTTTGAAAGGGATATTTATTTAATTTCCCAATATACTACTGGCATTCTCATTTAAATGCATTTACCAGTATAACTAAAATAAAGCAGTTATAAAATATTACTTACTGTGTTTTGTTTTATACTTATTCTTGCTTAAAGTCTGCTAAAATACAGACCACACCATGTAAATAAACAACCTACCTTCTCTCTCTCTCTCTCTCTCTCTCTCTCTATCTATCCATTTATCAAATAAACTAGTTTAACTATTATTTAATAAACATACTATAATACATATACTATGCTATAATATATGATTGACTATATGATAGTTTATTTTATATTCAGTCATATATTTTAAAACTATATAGTTTATTAACTATAGTAAACTATAAACTATATACAGATGGATAGAAATAGAGAGAGGGAGAGAGATACACAGAGAGAGAGTCAGTACTCTGTCTGTGTCTAGTGGACACTGACATGTATTCTGATTACTCAACATCTTTTGAACAAACCTTCAAATATTTTGTCAATGCTTGTATTTTTTGCTTCCACAAGGTGGAAACCAAAGTCTTACTTAATTAGCTTTCTTTGAGGTTAGGGAGCAGATATGTCAATAAAGCTCTAACAAAAAGACTGCTAAAGGCTACATTTCATAAGCAAGAACAGGGAATTACAGGTGCTTTACAGAATTCACTCTCCCATCCATCCTTCCTTGTAAGTGCTGCAGCAGCAGATTCTACTTGCCAATACATCAATGGTAAAAGTTCTGGAGTTGGTCAATGTTTAGGTTCCTCTGTGTTTTCATTGGGCAGTCTCAACATATGGCTTGTGCATTTTTCCTCGTTTTTCATTCCATTAGGATATGAGTTCTGGATATTCTATGACCTTCCTAATATTTTCATTATGTGTCTTTCTTGCTTAAAACTCACTAGAATGGGTTCTATTGTTTGCCTCTAAGAATGTTGTTTAATTTTTGGGTTTTACTGTGTTAAGAAACATCTATAGATTATATCTTGTTTTTTTAAAGTTTATTTATTTTGAGAAAGAGAGAGAGACAGAGAGATCAGGGGGAGGGGCAGATTGAGAGATAGAGAGAATATCCCAACCAGGCCCTGCCACTGTCAGAGCAGAGCCTGAGGCAGGGCTCAAATTTATGAACTGAGATCTTGACCTGAGCCCAGATCAACAGTTGGGGGCTTAACCAACTGAGCTACTGAGGTACCCCTATAATTGTATCCTCTTAATATGTATATTTCATCATTAGATATAGATTTTGGATGTGTTTAAAGACTAAAATGACCTCACTATTCATTGTTTGTAAGCAAAGAGAACTTCAGAACTTTCAGATATGAGTCAGTTTTATACCCAATTAGTGTATATTTATTTCCACAAAAGTGGGTTTAATTTGAATTAAATTGTGGAAGGTTAAACTTATAACCACTGATTCAGTGACAGTTTTCAAAATTCTTTCTTATTATTTAACATATATCAGGTAGGATTTAATATATACTTACCTAGACAATACATACATACTTTGTGATTGCAAAAGACTAAAATAACATAGACATATTTTTAAAGCATAACTCCCCCTCATTTTTATTTCCACTTACTCTCATTTTTAAGAGCAGAAGAAATCCTGTGAGATTGCTTTTAATCTCTCTTCCATGCACTGCAAATGTAATTTTATTTTTTTAGTAAGATAGATTCATATTAATGCTAATTATGTCACTACTTTATTATCTTATTAGCCCTAAAGACAACTCCATGGAGCGGGGAATCGTATCCTCATTTACATATGTGGGGACTTATGCTAGAAAGTTGTTCACCCAAGGTTGCTGAGCTAATAAATGGTACAGCTGGAATGTTTATATGGCCTGATTGACTCTTGTTCTTGAGCTCAACCACCTCATGGAAGTGAGACAGTCTGTCATTTCCCGCTACCCTTTGCAAAATGTATCCCAAATAATTCTGGCCTTTATACATTACTAATAGATTTTATATCCTCCGTTATTATGTGTGGGACTGATTGATATTCAGTTAATGTTAGAAGCTTTCAATTTGCCTGTCTTCTGTGTTGTATCAAATGAATAAAAGAACATCACTGAACTATTAGAGATAATGACAGTGGCTTGCAACATAGGCTGGGAATTCAGACTGTCTGAATTCCAGTTAATACTCAATTTCTTGGGAATGATGTGCCCTCAAGTTATTCAACTTGCCTATGCCCAGCTTCCTTATCTGTAAGTTAACAGTAGAGTGAATTCATTTTTGTACAAGAGCTAATGAGATAAAGCATTTTAAAACTGGTACCACTGTATGAATCATATTGTAAATGTTCAGTTAAACTAAGTTCTTTGCTTTTTCTTCTCTCTTCTCCTCCTCCTACTCCCAACCTCTTCCTCTTACTTCTCTTCTTCCTAATATATGTTTCAACAGCACAGAAACAGTCAACCTGCCTAAAACCATAGGAATTCTATGCTAGGAAGCATACAGCAATAAAAGAGTTTGGAAACTCACAGGAAGTGCCCCCACCAAATTTGTTCCAATTATAGTTATTGACACTGGAAATTTTTTTTCTATTCAATGCAGCATTAGAAATCAAGTTGATCTAACTTCCTCTTAGCAATCTTGTATTAATCCCTGCTCTAAAGATATGCTATTAAATTCACTCAGGGGGCATCTGGGTGGCTTAATGGGTTAAGTGTCTGACTTTAGCTCAGGTCATGATCTCACAGCCCATTGAATTCAAGTCCCACTTCAGGCTCTGTGCTGAAAGCTCAGAGCCTGGAGCCTGCTTCAGATTCTGTGTCTCCCTTTCTCTCTGCCCCTCCTCCACTCATTTTCTCTCTCTCTCTCTCTCTCTCTCCCTCTCTCTCTCTGAAAAATAAACAAAAACATTATTTTTTAATTCACTCAGCTACTGTGTATTCATATTTTTCCTTAGTGTCTGTGTCCTCAATCCTCTACCTAAATCCCTGCAATAGATCATTGGTTTATTTTCATCATTCTGTTTTGGATGGAACTTGGAATGCAAACTACATTTCTGGCATTATTGTGATTGAACCTGAGTCCTATTGCTGGTCTGATGAGCCATGACCAGGGATGCAGATGGGGAGCTAGGAGGTACCGAGCATGACTCTCCTGTTCACCCTGCTTCTCTTGAGTCTGTTCCTGGATTCCAGCCCTAG